GCATTCCTGGATGCTGACGAGTACGGGCGCCGGCGCCAGCCCACCGCAGTGGCAGAAGGACGGGAAGAAGGCCCCCCCTCACTCTCTCCGGCATTTTATTCTTCCTTAGCTGTGTGTACTATTGCTGCTGCTCCGACTGCTTCTGGTTATTGGCTTCTTCCTGAAAGGGCAGATGATGTGGCGAATGCACGGACAGTAAAGAAAAATAATTGTTGCACTTTTGATGCTCTCACCGCTGTGCGTCACAAATATGCTGCAAAAAAACACTGCTCCTGGAAGATGTGAGAGGAGGGCAGGCAAAGTCCTCCAAACTAGCCAACCAAACAACGATTAAATTTCATTTCGGTACTCCTCAGGGAACCATGTAATTTTTATATCCCTCGAAAACAGCAGGCCTTTTCGCACACCAGATACTACTGCAACTGTAACCAGCCACCAGGATTCCCGCTGCTTCAGCACCCGTGCCATCATCCACAAGAGTGTCATGATTCCGGTGTCCACTATTAGTACTTCCGGTTTTTTGAATCACAGAAAGAGACAGAGAGAGCATACTCTCTGCATCTTATGCAAATGCAAAAATGCATACTGTCGGTGCATGTGTATGTTATTTTTATCAGTCACACTTAACCACTGAAGCTAGGGAGCTGGGATTTCACAGGGATGATCCTGGCCAGCGTGCCTTCCAAATATCCGGGAATCAACGTTGTAAGGAAATTCACACAACTGGATTTGGTGTACGAATGTCTAAAAAAATTCACGCAAATTTTTTGATGAAAAAGTGATTTCGGGAACCGGAGCAGGTAGAACTGACAAGGAATATTTTGTATTCCTGTGAGAGTTAAAAATTTCCAATTCAGCTTTAAAGAATGCCTGTGTCAGGAGTACGAGCGCATCGAAGCTGTGATTTCGTCATCTCTGGCAGAGCGCTAATCTGGGACTAAGTTTAGAGCGCTATAGCTTTGCGATAATGTTTGTTCTCAACACGCGGTCACATAGGCTTAAAACAAACTTTGGCTTACGCTTCTCTGGCGCATTTG